CATTATGCAAGGGAAATTAAAATTTCCTCAGAGTTTAAAGATGCCAGCTTTATTTTAAACTTCCGGTGTAAGTTCAAGCTTACAAAGTCACCCAGTAATTACCTATTTATTTCAAATTTCCTGAAAATTCCGAAAAATTTGGTATACAAACCAAACTTTTTGGGCTTCTGTTGTGCAGGAAATTCGCAGCTGTTTTGGGGCCATGATGTTTCACGAAACGAACATTTGAACCTGAAGCTATTTCCGAAAAACAGCCCAACAAGCGGAGACGTAAAATGTGTCCGGTCGCGAGTGCCGATAAACTAGTGATAAAAATCAGTAGCCACGGCGACAGCAATGCCTGCAATTGTTGCTGAAAGGGTTGCTCAGAGGACATGGGCTTAACGGTCTGCGATGATAGATTAAGCAGCGGCTTTATAGTAAGCCGACCACTGCGTCCGATATAAACACATCAGCAGTCCGATTGACTCTGCCGTCAAATTGAAAGCGGTGAATTTAAGAGAGAGAGAGAGAGAGAGAGAGAGAGAGAGAGAGAGAGCGCATAGGTGCTGCCCAATTTCCCCTATTTGCGAACCAATCTTATCATACGTCATCACTGCAGCCTCCGGAAACTGGTCCTCGTCGCTTGAAAAGGAGAAACTACCGATGTATCAGAAAAGTGCACTATAAATGTTGCCAGAATATGGATAGTTTGATGTAATTTTCCATGCTCCTTCCTAGTCCTGTCCGCATAACCGAGAACTCGGCACTAAGTGGCAAGAATAATAAAGCAGAATGTGTAACGCTCCACTTACACGCTCTCCACTCATCGGGATGTTTGAATGGAAAGGCGAGGCCATTATCGATAGCGACGACATCCACTGTGGGAAGAGGGACCATATCCCAACATGCCTCCTTGTTCGTGTCCTAAAACAAATATTGAACAATACCTCAACACCACAAATTGTACTTAGTATTTTCCTCGATGGGGCGAGGTGCACAAGGTGTTGCTCTAAACGGATATTTTACAGCGAAGCGTCATTGTTGTGGATACTACAGGAGAGTAAAGTAGCACAAGTAGTTTTCAAGCCAATGCGTGTTTGAAGGCAGTAGCCGCAGATGAAGCACCGCAGCAAATTCGATGCCCATTCAAATACTAAGAGTTATCACACAACAAACTGAAGCGTCATCCATTATGCAAACAGGCTCAGATAAGGGCTCAAAAGGACGAAGCGCAAAGACTATAAAAAAAGAGGGAAATACAATCCAATAGGCCGTTTAGGACTAACTAGTGTCGCCTTCCAAATGTAACGGAGTTCCACAGCCGCGTGGGACTATCAAGTAGCAGTAATCGGGAAGTACAATGAAAAAGTCGTGACAAAAAATTTTGTATATCAGTACAGAACTCAAAATCCAAAGCAGTAGCAGACGGGCTGAAGAAATTAGTTAGGGAATTAGAACTCAAAAATATGATCAGGGAGAATGAAAGGCGCCAAATGAAACCAACGGAAAATGCTCCCGCTACAATCTGTAGTCGGTGTAA